ATATTCTGTATGGATTCTTCTACATCGTGATGCGATGCTATAAGATATTTCACAGAAATATGGCCTAACTCTCTGTGTAGCTCAACTATGAGCTGGTCAAAGGGAACTGATGACGTTGGTTTACAGTCTTCACCAAAACAGTGTTTGAAACAAATACCAGCACTCCACAAACCAGATCTGCGTGCAACTAACTGGCAAAATAAGAAAGAGGATCAAGTAGCAACATCAATACCTTCAGCAAAAATTGCCAATTTGCAACACCACTATAATGCTCATACTGCATTAAGTGTGTCCTCACACAAAAGTTCAGCCTTCCTCCACTTTTAAAGCAGACAAAGCACTAAGTATTCATAGAGGAAGGATACAGTGTCTTATATGCTTATTATAACGTACTGAGCACCCACTTTCCTTTCTAGGCAAATCCTAAGTGATTCTTGACCTTTCATTCTTGTTCAGCCCTATCATCTCCTACTGCCTTTTTTTTTTTTTTTACTCCTCCATGAAACTTAGGAATAAATTAAAATTTCCCTCTTACTATTACTATGGGCTTTTGGCCACAACATGTTTGTATTTTTGTCCCACTCCTCCCCTCGCTCTTGGTTTGACGGCTTCATTTTGTATGTCAACTCATTTTATTTCCTGAATTTTCATTTTTATTTCCTGTTTTTCTTTACTCATCCTTCCCCTTTTGACTCTACGTCTTCCCCTCATCTATCGCCAGCAGATTTCTGGTGCTTCTGGTTACACATTCATAGGAATACTTCTTACCAACACTGCCAACTGACTGCCTGTTGCCACAGAATCTGAAGGGAGCAGCAACCTGCAGCTGCTTCCAGAACAGAAGAAATAGGAAAAATATTACTAGGAAAGCAAGAGGAAGAAAACACAAATTCATTTGCCATGAAAGATTAGCAATAACCATTCCTCAGATGAACCAGGGTTTGAAGAAGCTCTGAAGGAAGAAGCAAAGAGTGGATTCGAGGGTTGAAATTTCCCCAGGTAATTGACAACTGTAGGATAGACAATTTGGGGGAAACAGACAGCTATGGATAAAAGATGGTTGGAAGTTTGCTTAGTTAGGTTTTTTTGTTTTCATCCAGGTCAGAATAATATTATGGACAAATCACAAAAATCTATCTATTCTATATGGAGGGAATAAAATGGTAGAATACATGACCTACTTGCTAAACCCCAAGGCAAAACTTGGAAAATATCACTGTGTTTGTACATTCTACTTTACAAACTTTTATATTGACAAATTCCTGAAACAGGGAATATTGCCCATTTTCCAGTCTCTCAAATAGCAGAAGACACAGATCAAAGAAAACTGCTAAAAATGCCTATATGGATAACTGCACTTCATCTAGAAGACACTGCTTACTTTCAGAACGTCAGCTATGGTGGCAATCTGCGTTAGAAGGAACGTGCAAGGAACTGGGTGCATCTAACACAAACTCTTTTATCTTTCCCCCAGAACTAGCTGTGTCTGAGGGAAATAATTTTGAGAATGTACCGCTGGTGAAACTAAACCAACATCAGCCCCAAAACAGTCAGAAACGCTCTCCTTACAGAAACAGTAACCACCTGGAGCTCTGTCAGAGCAAATTAGACTTTGATAGTGGTTCCAGTGGAACCTGAGGAAGATAGGTGGTTGTACAGTGTTAATTCTGTAGCTTGAGGACAAGCTGTATGGACACTTAAAGCAGAGAGGAAAAAGAAAGAATCCAAATGCTTTCGTTAACATTAAACTGAGATTGCCATTGCTCTGCTTTAAAGGAAGGAAAATACCCATAACCCTGGAGAGACTACAAGAGAGGAATACTCTATCCAGATAATTACTGTAATTATTAGTTTATGTCTGAGATTAGCTTGCGCTAAGCACCCTTGGATAGAAGGGATTTGCAAACAATACATGTTTATGACACAGTGCTCCATCAGGTAGAAAAGGTAATTTGCCCATCTCGGGCTATTTGGAGTTTGAATCCTGTGTCTATATAAACTACTCTGTAACTTTGTGACTGACTGGGGAAAAAAAGCTCTCAATGTTCTACTATAAAGTGTATGTAAAAATAAAATGTATTTATTTTTAGTATTTGGCTCTAGATGGAAGTGTGAAGTTAAAAATATCTTCAGGAAAAAGGTTGAAAAAAAGTTTAGGATGCAAGATAATCTTAGAACAGCAAACTTGGGTCTCCACTGAGAACCACCCCTGCCGTGGGCAGTAAGAGCCAACCATCACCCAACTCTACTCACCCCTACGGCAGTACATGACAACACAGGGCATATGTCTGATACACACAGAGCTTTCAAAGAAAATCTAGCATCAGGCAGACACACACTTACAGACATGAAAACCAACAGCTTAGCAGGGCTTCAAAATGGCACATATGTGAAACATCACTTTCCAGTTACACCGTATGCATAGTACATCTTTAAATACCAATGTGACAATTGAGCAGTCAGGGCTTTGTGAGACATTTCAAATCAGTGGTATAGCCCTTCCTCTCTTAGCTTCTTTCACCACTCTGACCATGCAGTCCCCTCCTAGTGTCAGCCAGGAGGTGAGAGTGTCTTTGGCTTCATTGGGTGCTCCTCTCACCATGCTGGAAGCTGTAGCTCCTTCTCTTTTTAAAGGTGGGACAAGGAAAGAGCACGCATCACAAAAAACTCTGCCAGGAACCATCATGGTGACAAAGGCCATCAGTCAGGAAAAAACAAGCTTTTCCTTTCCTGAAAACAAATACCACAAAAAGTATTCTTGCTATCCATCACATGTTCTTGCTTAAAGCAAACAACTGATATAAACCAACCTTGAAATATCTGACATATCTTGACCCACAATGCAACATCCCTCCTCCAGGAAACAACTCTTCTACCACAAAGAAGTCACCATCACGTTGCTGACTACATAACTCCACAGCAATCGATCTCTTACAAGACCCATGTGTTATAAACATCAGCAGAAACTTGAGAAACCGGATCCTCTTGTATTTCCACCTCCTCTAGACTCAGTGTGGTATTTACTGTAGCTCAGTGAAGACCTGCAATACCATTTTAGAGAGGATACTGAGACTTTAAGAATTGTTTTGGTTCCAATTTGGCACAAAATGCAAAACATTTTGAAATCCTGCACAAAGAATTGTTCTCCACCTAATTCTGGGATAGTCCAATTTATGAGAATAGTCTACGACCAAAGCAGAGATCAACAGCCAGTGCTACATTTCCTAGAGCTGTGGGAGCCACCACAGTGACACAATGGCAAGTCAGCCACCGCCTTTCCCTGCCCACAGGACCCCATGATGACTCCTGAAGTCCACCAAGTACATTCTCTGCTCCTAACATCTACCTCTGCCATTAATACAGTGGGGCTGGTTTGGGTTTTGTTTTGCGGTTTGTTTTTTGTTAAGGCAAGGCCCTCTGAGTCATCAGAGCTAAGGAAGAGAAGCCAATTTGGGGAGAGAAAGTAGAGGAAAGAAAGAATGCACCATTCACAGATTACTCTCTGTCAATGTCCAGGCTTGTTACAGAGGTAGCTCTTAAGCAAGCTGCACAGACAGGTGAGCAGAAGAAAGAAACTGCTTTTGTCAAATAATCTAGATGCACATACCATGCACTTGTTTCTTCTCCTTCCAAATAGAACTGTTTAAGTACTATTAGCAACTAAGCACAAAACCTCAAGCCATCAAAGTTTCCAAAAGAGCAATACAGTATAGTTTTTGATGAAAATTAACAAATGCAAAAAATGCAATGTTCCTTCAAACATCTTAAGTTTCTGAACCCTCTGGATAAAACTAACTCTTCCTTCCTTTATTCTCTGAAGTGATATTATCAATGTTAATAGCTATGCTTGCTTTCACAGACATTCCAGTTTTATACCACAGCATGTTTTCCACACATACACCTCTTTTCATCAAATACAACTTACCGTTAATCCTACCCACTACTACTGGACAGTACAAGAGGATAAGGAAAGAGTAACTTCAGTCCTCTACTGCAGAAACAACATTTATGTAAAGTACCTATAAATGTGGAATTCTTTCAATACATCTGAGAAAATGTTGTTCTAACTAATAAGCACTCTAATCAGCAGTTAATTATTTGTGTATGCATACAGAAATATAAACCCATCGTATGGCTATCTCTATATTCTCACATGTTCCATACACATATATTTTACACACTTGCTTCATCAGCAGGAAAGGCTACTCAGAACACCATTATGGAAAATATTTGTAACAAATCTTTTCTCCAGACCTGCTCCTTCCATCTTCTTGGCTCTGAAGACTGGAAAACTTTGTCTTGATATGTTAAAGTTTGCATGAATAGCAAACCAGAGAATTCAAGTTCAACTTCTGATTTAAAAAACAAGTTATGTTCAGCTTTTTATGTATCAAACCTAAATATGTATCACAGAGATAGGACCAACATTGCAATGTCCATTTGTGCTCAACCAAAGTCATGCTCAGAAACTCAACATCTACACCCTACTGAAAGCGACAGACTGCAATTTCACTGGAAAACAGGCATTTAACTTGTTAATAAGAGGTTAACAACGATAATGTTGTTCTTAGACAACAGCATCTGAGCACACACTCATTATTACAGCATATTTATCCAAACCCAAAATTTGGCACTAAATCTTAATAGCCCTGCATCTAAGCGTAGTTTAACATAGTCTTGAAATAAAACTAAGGTGATACATCATACAGAGAATAACTTACATATTCATTGCCTAAAAAAAACCCACCATTTAAAATTTTGAAACAGGTTAAAGTAAAATGCACTAGGTTTCTGTAGAACATTTCTTTCCTACAAACATTAAAGTAGCCTCTAAGCTCCACCACAACATATAAACACATACCTTTTTGCAGTAGAAGAAAATCTAACTATATGTAATTCCTAAAACTCACTTCAGTTTGGTGAAACTGAAAAGCAAAATGTGTTTCATGTGAACAACCACACTAGTGGAAAAATCATTACTTAATATTCAGGTTACTTACAGATTTGTTGTCCAGCCTGCAAGATCTCCACTGTCCATAATAAGGTGATTTCCATCCAGCAGCCCGGGAGGGCTACTAGAGAAGGCAGGTGTCGGAGACTGGGAAGAAAGAGAATCCATGCTCCCAGTTGGGGTGTCTTCTCTTGGAGAGCTGTGACTGTCAGCTAGAAAAGAGAGCACAAGTCAGGAGGATACTAAATGAAACTTCTCACGAGCCAAAGAAGCTGCTTTGGTAACAATATCCTGAAATATGTACAAGAAAAAAAAACAACTTACTGTCCCATTTTCACAGGATATTTTGGAGGACAAGCAATCCCCCAGCGCTTCCCCAAAAGGTACCATTGCACAATTTCCCCCATCATTATCACCAGGCTATCTTCACAACACAACCTTTTCCTGGTCCCCTTCTTGTCATGTGTTTTATGTGGTTGAACCACTAGATTTTGGGCGGTTATTTTTAGACATATGCATCACTTCAGATAACAAAATAGCTCAGGCTATACACATTTGCATGTCTCTCTAAAAACAACTTAATACACATTTGAAGAAAAGATTGCTCTCAAGTACCATAAGCACAGTCCTATTAAACACGAAACAATGAAATTTTTAGAAGGGTCAGAATAAGCAGGAGATCTCTAACAAATGCACAACACCCAAGAACGTTACTTTTATTACACCTTTTTAATGGTGTTACTTTAAAGAGAACTCACTGTATTCTGGTCTACTATTCGTTTTCATAAGCTACTTTTAGAACATGACTTAGGAGACAACACATTCAGATATGACTGCTTAAGAAAACATTAAAGGAGCACCATTCCTATCCCATAGACAGTAAGAAAAAGTTACCAATGTGTCACAACCCTCACTGCAAAGCATGCTGGTTTGCATCTAGCCAAATAGCACATTCTTCACCGAAAAGCTAACCTTCACCCACAGAGCTTTTCCCTTTTAAATTTTTATTTAAATATCAGCTGTACATTTTTTAAATTCTAGAAGAGGTCTATGAAATGAGGATGATTGTAAACATTAAAGTGTCCAGCAAAATTAATCCACAGTCTCAAATGGGGCCTGTGACTATTTTCAGAATATTAATATTTAACAGTAACAAGAGTCATTTCTAACCACCCTTTACAAGGCTCCCTGCATCCTTTCCTTTTCTCCTCTGTCTATCCTATTCCTATTGGTGCTCATGAACACAGCCCACAGCCCTGCATCACAAAAGCCCCTCTAGTGTGGATTAGATACCACTGACCCCACAGTCTTAATAAAGAGTTCTGCTCCTTCAGGGCCAAAAGCTTTGAGGAAAAAAATGAACAACAAAGTCCTAACACAGCATCACAATAATATGATCAATAGCTGTTAAAATATTGGACTCTCTTGACAAGCTCTATCTCCTCTATACTGTACTATATAAGGCAAAGTCCTGTACAGTCTTACTAATTCTAAATTAATTAGCATCTGTACAGTGAACAACTGAGATTAATTCTACTCCATCAAGCTAAGCAGTACTCTTACAATAATAAATGAAAGAAATCGTTTTGTCCTTAAATAAAAATGCAACATCAATGAAACATGGACAATGGAAAGCCACCTTCACTGGATAAAATCCCTCTCGTAACTTTATTACTGCCTCAACCAGTTCAATTTCTTCTGCTAACAAAGCACTCGCCTGCTTCCCCAGCCTCACCACCTCCCAGCAACGCTCAGAGAACAACTTCCCTAGGGAGTAAAACGACATACAACTGAAAACACTGAAATGATAAGTGATCATCTGGAAGTTTCTCCCTAAAGCAGCTGCTAAATTAGCCCATAGTAACAAAGTATGATAGGCTCCTCAGAGGAGAGCTTTAACCTAGGATGGTGAGTCAGTCACACTCCAGCCCAATCCTGCTCAACTAGGCCACAATGCTGCCGCTCATGTTTGCATGACATGACATGAGAACTCTAGGAGTATCAGGTAAAAACTAATTAATTACATCTCATTTGCAGACATATGTGTCACAGTGATAAAGATCTGAGGGATTAGAAAGTAATACTGCAATTTGACTTTATGAAGAAACTGAATTCCTTAAAACTAAATAGACTTAAGTCCTTTAAACTCCTCACGATTTCTTCTCAAAGTATTAATGCAACCCAGACTATCAAACTACATACACAGGATTAGAAGGCCATGTGTACCTCGACCATTCACTTAACATTACTAAAACAGCAGTAGAAAGGAATATTAATCTGTTCTTTAATATTATGAATATGCCCAACTCACCACACCTCCCTACAGAAAGCAAAGGCTTTTCTGTTGAATCATTTCTTAGATCACATAGAAAAAGTTAAAAAACACTAAACACTTCAGTCACACACACTGGAGTCTACAGTATACAGGCAGTTGCATTTGACATTATCGTAAGCAAAGCTATGTTAAATCTTTCCTGAAATTTTACTTCTTCCTTCCCTTCCTTCCTGAGACAGTGTTTTCTCATGGTCAATACTGCGTTGCACTTTCAAGAACAGGATCAGGTTTTGAAATCTAAAAACAAATCAGGTACTTAAACAGGAAAACGCCTGCTAAATTCTAAATAGGATTAAGTGAACATCCTCTAAAAACATGTTCAGAGATACTTTACATTTCTGATGCTTTCAATTGTCTGTCTTTACAAAGTAAAACAATACCTTTATTCAGGAAAAGGCAACTCTGTGTAACTGCAAAAACAGATGACTAATGATCATCTAGAACATTTTCATGATTAAAACCAAAATATGCTCAAAACCTAAGTCTTTGAAATAGAGTGCCATTGCTCTAATTTCAACAGTACAAAGATTTCACCTCGTACGATGGTGACAAAGTTCTGATAAGTTCAGAAATTACAGTAACTCCTGTACATGGCAGAAGCCATAGAACTGGATCTAGTTACCTCTATTAAGCTTAATAACCTGCTTTTGATTAATGCCCATCTCATGTTGGGCCAAAACTGTATCTTACAGAGAATCTTTGTCTGGAGACATCAGCGCATTATAAAGGTAATGGAGAATCTATTGGCTGCCAATTAACATACTCAATGATTCACTTCACTAGGCTTTATTTTCAGGCATGACCCATGTAATATGCATTGCTACTAATTATAGTATCTCTCATAACCAGTTTCTGTGCTGTGTGAAGGTATTTAAATGATCTCCTTCATAAGTTTAACAATAAATCTCTTACTATAAGGGATTTTGCAGGTTTGGAATCATGCACCTGCTTTATAAACCTGTTACAGCATCCCAGGGTTCCCTCTGAAGAGCGTACGTCAGATCTGAGTTCATGATTTTTTGTTACGGTCCCATGAGTGACACTTTTTCCACCACTTACTCCTACTCATCAATCCCGTTTGTACATCCAAGGCTGGCATTTTTTTGCCACAGCTTTAAATTAATAGCTTATGATGAGCCAACTGCCCACTGTGACTAGCAGAGTCACTGTTTTTAAGGATGCAGTCCTGCATTCTGTAGCTACATGCTACTTTTTCCTCCAAAAATCTGTCAATTTATTTCTCAAGACAACCAAGAATATTTTGTTTGAATGGGTGCATCTTAGCACATGACCACAAGTCCTATATAACTGCCATTGTTATTATTTGCAATTCTGCTTAAATTTGTTCCATGTGTAAATATATCATCAAGGATATGTATTTACCTTTCTAAATACTGCTGCTATATTAGCACTCCTCCAGTTTCTTCAAACTTCTTCAGCATGCTACAACATGTTTTAAAAATTGACATTGCCAGGCCTAACAACCCCATGACCAGAGAACTTTTTTAGGACAAGTTTGATGGCTTCACATTATTGAAAGTATTGCAACAGGCCTACCTGTGAAGATTTCTGCTTGATCCTGATGATTATAAATCATCAGGAAATCAAATTTTCATAGCTAAATTCTTTCTAAGGGTTCTTCCAAACTTGTAATGCATATTGACTGCTACCCATTTCCTTCCCCCCCTTTCCTGTATTTTGCTTTGTGGAGCAGGTAAAGATCCTAAACTGCTGGAGATTAAAAAGCCTTTAAAGTTCTGACATGGTTTGTTTTTTAAAGGGTGCTTAAGGACATTGCTAAAATTGAATCAGCTTTACGGTTTTCATTTTACCTCAGAGGTCAGGGGCTCCCTAATATTTTTATTGTTTCTCTCCTCTCACTCCTCTTTCCCTCCAACACTGCTCTCCAGTGAGCAGCACCGTCAGATTTCCCACTTCTATGAAAAGGCTGACTGCCACATTGGACTGGCAGGTCCTTCCGAAGAGGAGCTCCAGAAACTTCCTATTCTTCTTTTCTACCACTTGAACTCTAATGAGGTCTTACACTATAAAATAGAGAATATGTGAATTATTTTAAAGCTAATTTATATAATCCTTTGAACATATAGTTTGGTGTTCTTAGAGCCTCCATTTTCTCTCCCTAAAAATGTCAATCCCCCTCCCTTTTCTCTTCCATTACACTCATCTTTAGGTGCCAAAGAGAGGCAGAACAGATGAAGGGCATGAGGGTTCTCAGCATAAAAGCAGTAAGTCTGTATGACATCTCAAATTTTTGTCAACACTCCAGCCACCAAACTCTTCACCCTTTCTTCTTCATATTTGTGGGAAGCCTCTGAGTGCCTTTGGCCTTCAGCTTGGCCATCTTTCTAGAGCTGCCACCAAGCTGCTTCTACGATTCATCTCCTCATCCTACAGAAATAGGTGTAAGATCCAATTTTACTCTTGGAGTTAAAATTTGTTTTACATTTTCACCACCTTTTGCATACTATTTAAATTTTTTGACTGCTCGGCTCCATTTAAACTGTCATCTAAATGATCTTTGTGTTTCACTGTTCTAATCACAACACTCATCCAAGCCTTAGAGCTTTCACTGTGCCTCTGCAATAGATATCCATGCCTTGCCTCTATGGCTGTTCACAGCTCACAGCAGACCTATCTAGAAAATAAGATAGTTTAGCTTGATCTTAACCATTTACTGGTTGTGGTTAACTGGTACTACTTACCATTCGGTTTTTAACCCAAATATCCTTCCTCCTTCTGCACCTCGTGTCACCCTTTCTCATAATGAAAAATCCCCACAAAGTAAGGAAGTACATATATAGACCAAGACTTACCTCATGTAGCTTCTCTCTAGCAAATATGTAACCCTCAATCCTT